AATAAAAGGAGTTTTCGGATTATCCGTGTTTTTCGATTGTCCGTGCGACCTGTCCCGGTGATTAACCCGGATAATCGGGAGTGCACTATATATATATATATAAGGGGGGGGGAATAAAAGTAATAGGAATCCGGAGAAGAAAGAAGAAAAAGATATAATCTTTTCATCAGCTCACACGATTATATCCGCAAAAAGGAGTGCTTTCTAATATTGTATCAATACATCCAAAGTAAAATATATCAATACAAGAGTGTGAGGAGCACTCAAAAAAAATTTTTACAAAAAAATTACAACAAATAAAATAGAACACAATAAGTAAAAATATCACGTAAAAACAGAAAATAAAATATAAAGAAAATGCAGAATAAAACATGAAATGAAATCTATAAAGCGAGTAGTGAATTAAAATGAACTTACATGAAAGGGAAATTTTTCAAGAATGATTTAAAATATTTTCGTAACAATATTGCCAGATTGCGAAATATGAAACAAAAGGCGCAAATTCAGGTAAAAGCGTAAATAGAGGGATTTTGTATTAAAGTGCGTTTTTACTGCAGTACTGAAGTGCGTTTCATTTGTTAGTTACCAAGGATGGCCCCAAAAGGGATGTGCGCAAGGTAATATTATACTGTATAATTTAAAGAAGTTGACAATTAATAATTTTAGAAAATTAACATTTATTTAAGAAAAAAAAAACACGAATTGCCTGTTTTGCACAAAATTTTAGCCACGGAATTGCCCAAAATGGATTTACACATGGTAAATTAACAAAGAATTTTTTTTAGTAAATTTATTTACAATAATAATTAACTCAATGATTTTACGAGGAATTTAATTACTTTAGTTGGGTATCCATTGTTTTTTATCAAATTTTGAAAGAGTTTGTCTATTTGTTTTTTGGATAAATAAATATTACTAAAAGACATAAAAAAAAGGCTTAAAAAAGTTTAAAATTGATATCATCCCTTCCCGCATCGTACTTAAATTTAATGAAAACTTGAGAGAAAAAAACATGAATTTAAGTTAGCTAAAACTTTTAAAATAAGCATAATTATTCTAAATGAACTAAATTATGATCAATAATTTAATTTTTTTACATTCAAGTAACATTTAAAAAAAAAAAAAATTTACGAGTTTTTTCGAAATTTTTCCTGTATACCTCTTATCTTATTTTGTTAAATCAGAACAACCCTGAACCTCATCGCGTGGTTTCACGTCGAGTTCCCCCTACACCCTAACCCAGTGTTTCCCAAACTTATGACTTCTGTGTACCCTTTCCAAATTTTTTGTAACGCTGTGTGCCACTAATAAAAAAAATGAATGTATTTTTTACAATAAAAAAGTTGCGCATAAGTTAAAAATTACAACTGGCTGATGACACCACTCACTATTAACTGTTAACTCTGCAAAAAATAGCCGATAGAAAATTACGTAATCGTAAATTTTCATGGCTAGCTTTGCTTGTAAATAAAAAGTTTTGAAATTTTCGTTTGTTGCAAGATATTTCGCATGAGAATGCGTACCCCCGCTAAACTGTTCCCGTACCTGGTGGCATGTGTACCACACTTTGGGACACACTGCCCTAAGGAATTAACCATCAAATTTTTCGACCTGGTATTTACATTATAATTACACTAATATACAAAGATTTTCAATGGAGTAGGATTCTTTGGCGTACTGCGTTGTTAAAGGTCTTTTTTTAATATCCAACACACATCTGAAGAAATGAAACTTAACTTATCTCTTATCTAGATTTTAGTGTTGCTCGGATTTATCCGTTCAAAGTTCCATGTTAATACATTTTCAGAGATGCCAACTTGCTCCGGACAGCAAATATATTTTTTAAAGTGGTAGTTTATCACTTGTGATTCTAGGTTTAATTAATTCAATTTAGTAGATATTTATCCATCACTATTTCTAAATAATTCGTAGATTTATATAATTGACCACTTTATAGCACTTATGCCATGCAATACCTTTTGAAAAGCAAACAAAAATAATCAAATTCATCAATTATGCCTTTCATTTTTCAAAAATCAATTACTGTACATATCAAATCATGTTTTATCTTTATTTTTAATTTTAGTCTACAATCAATATTTCTAGTGTTAAGTAAAAACGTCAATCTGTCATATTAAATTTTTTCATTGTTTTATTTCACAAGCAAACGGCTTGATTTTTTTTATGGCTACCAGAATGTATTCGAATGAACTTCAATGTATGTCATAATTAAATATGTGCTAGTTAAAATATAGAAATTTAATCAGTGAAATATGTATCAATTTATGTTAATATTTATTTATGTCAACTTATGTATATATATGTCAAATTATGTTTATATTTATATATATCAACTTAGATTCGATGAATCAGATATTTAAATGTTATATTTACTCAAGCAAAGTGCTTGTTTTTCTATTAGCTACCACATCGACTGCTAAATTCAAAATGTTATTACTATAAATTTTCTGTAAATTTCTAGATGTATGGGATAGGGGCGGCTAAGTGGCCCAGGTGCCCAATTTTTGTAAATAAAGTAAAGTAAGTAAAGTAAAATAGTCAAATATTTGCAAAATTTACTTTGTAGTTATTCAGAGATGCCAACTTGCTCTGGAGAGCAAATATATATTTTAAAGTGGTAGTTTATCAATTCTTGGTCTAATAAATTCAATTTAGTAGATTTGTATCCACCACTATTTCTAAATAATTCGTAGGCTTATATGATTCACCACTTTATCGTACACATGTCATGCTATACCTTTTAAAAAGCAAGCAAAAATAGTCAAATATTTGCAGAATTTACTGTGTAGTTATTTACCGTTTTTTTTAAAATTATTTTGGCGTGTCAGGAGCAGTTGGCATCTCTGCATTTTATTCAAAGCTTTGGTATTCATCTAATATGCAATAATGCCAGAATCGATAGAGTGATTTAATATCATCTTCACTTAAATCTTGCAGGATTGGAGAACACAGGAATTCCAGTTAATGATTTTGAAGTAACCCTTAGTTTAAAAGTTTATGTTCGGCATTTTGAAATTCGATCTTAGATCAATAAATTCTTCAAACCAATAATATCTGCAGTTTATTTCAAATGTAATTACTTATGGGGATTATTCAGAAGACTTGACGAATCGCGATCTAGACACAGCTGCCTTGCCTTGTCTTGTTTTGTCTTGTCTTGGTTTTGGATCTGGGCTACTGGGCCGCGAAGCGACCACTATCCCATTCATCGTGTAGTATTTGTCATTTTGTTTGGCTTCGTTGAGGTTAGCAGGCAACGTGGTTGCTGCCAATTCAAGCACTTTGCTTGACTGAAGCACTTGCTTGAATTCAAGCACTTTGCTTGAATAAATAATAATAATGAAAATGAAGCGGAGCAACTT